GGCTGTTGTGTCGAGTGGCGTTGTTACCGGTGAGGCTGTTGTGTCGAGTGGCGTTGTTACCGGTGAGGCTGTTGTGTCGAGTGGCGTTGTTACCGGTGAGGCTGTTGTGTCGAGTGACGTTGTTACCGGTGAGGCTGTTGTAGGTAATACTGGAAGATGACAAACATGCAAACATTTCAGTGTTCGTGTGGCGCTTCTCAATGATTTGTACTGATGATGACATCTTGCAGATGACTTTTGCCGTTATCTGAGCGCAATAATGTACGTGCATTTTATTGAAATTGTGTTACGTTGGTTCACATCTTCATGCAAAAGACACCTAAAACTCTTCGCTGCTCAAGTTCATCTATACTCGTCAAGATTTCCGGCTCCAAATTTTCATTCTAAACTTAGATTTAACTTTGGCTTCTTACCATCAACTCCGAGTAGTTCAATCCGCAGTCTTGGGGCGCCGGAGAAAGTTTGTGGGTTGATGAGGATAAACTGGGCGTAGACGTACGAGGAGAAGTCCTGTTGGACGACAGTCTCGTTGTCATTGTTGCCTGTGAAGGTCTGAAAACAAAACACATGTCTTCTGTGAACGGTCTACGTGCCACATTGTAATCACATTGGAATCGCAGTTTTTGGACTTTGATGACTGGCCATCCAGTTTTCTTTTGAATATAGACTGCGTGGTGTGGTGAAACACAATGTGTTCTCTCGTGTTTCTCCTCTTTTTCCTTCTCATCCTTCTCCTTCCATTTCTTTAAATGGATTCAACTCTGCCATTTTTCAGCCAAATGGCCTTAAATTTCGCATGGAGTGGACAAATACCCCCGGCCCTTTTTAAAAATCTATTTATTTATTTATTTTTTTATACAGTCTTTAATTTTTTTCCGACAAAATCTGTACATTTCGGGTCCTGGAGACCTAGTATTACACCCAAATCATCTGAAATTTGGTATGGGTATGCTTTATATATCTACAAACAACAATTCTATATTTGGCATAGTCTCCCTTAAATTTGTATAATTTGGGACTTTTTTTACTCTTTTCAGGTCACAATTTAGAGTAGAGTGAGGGGTGAGTCATCAAAATGCAGAGAAAGAGCCAATAGGCATGAAGCTTTCCTCTATTCTTTTTGCTGATTGGCTGTTGTGATTTAATCGTGTTTAGCTGCATTAGCAACTGCACCAAGCCATACCATATGAACTGCATCCAAGTGTTTTGCTAGGTATGTCAAACTTTCCTGCCCCAGCATTGGAATGCAGGACATAAACAAATGACCTGACATTTGCAGAAGGCGTTGAAAGACTACATTGCTGCATGGAGGTACGCATGTATATAGACTGTTGGAACACTTTACAATTTGGACAGGGGTGATTTAAGAACAACTCATTTGTGCGTGCGGGGGACAGGCCCATTTTTGGTACGGGGGATATCTGTTGAAGCCATTTGCTGCATTTGCTCCGATGCACATGTCGGCCTTTCTAGATCTACATGCCAACATACTGCTACTTAATTAGTTTACCCGCCAAGACCTGGTCGCCGAGATTCATGTGACAATTATTATAACCTCAATGAAAAGCCATGTCCTACTCATGCGGCATGAACGTTAAATACAAAACTTACCTTGGGGTTTGCACCGTCCTCCGAGTACATAACGTATGACGAATTGTTGTCTTGTTGGAATATGACCCTGTAGGTCTCCACGTATCCATCCCCTCGCCCCTGGGTCTGGATACTGCATATATAACGTGGATACTGTAGGTCTATAGCCAGGAAATTTGATGCCGCTTGGCCTGTGGGCTGCCATGCACCGTCGCCGTTCAAGCGGGCCCTGTACGCCTCGGACCCGGCTGCTGCTGAGGTAGCCGTCATTACGCCGTCTGGGATGATCGAACGATTCTGTACTCCCAATGGCGGGCACAGGCCTGCTGACGTAGTAGTCTGCGCGTCTGTCGAAAGTGAAAAAATCATTGTGTCGAAAACAATCTTGAGACCAATGCGATCGTTTTTTTCTTCATATTGTATGAAACGCCTTTATACAAGATCAACAAATCTGTCACAGATACTTCAAAGAAGGCATGGATTTCTCTGCTTACTAATTCTAATGAATCCCTTGTTGTTTGCTGGATGGGCGAATCAGTAACTATCTTTTTAAGGTATAATCTTATACTACAGATGAACAGGCTTAAGACTTTTAAGTCTGATTCTGCAATCTTAGCAGGACAATCTGGTGAGTTTTTGTTAGTCGGATGGGCATCGATTGTAAGACTTGCATATTGCACAAAGTTAACCTGGTCAAGTGAGCACGTCGGCAGAACGTACAGCGCCTGCGCTGAACCTGTGATGTATTGCGCATGACATCATTAGACACTTACGTAATGCCACCCGTTTTGTGTACCTTTGTAAACCATCACAAACACCTGTTGCTTTAGTTACCTGCTGAAAGGAGATGTCACCATATGGTAGTACCATACCATGAGACGGTTGGCGGTGTTTGCTGCCTTCACCCAGAGGTTTTACGTAACGCCTCATGTCGTTAATGGGGGTGACTCACTTTTAAAGGATTTGTGCCAATGCTAACATTTGTGACAAGCTAATACTTACTTAGGCTATTTGTTATATGTTTATCAGTAGTCCTGGGCCTGTGTAATAGGCCAAGCGCTTTTGCTAAATACGCTCTCAGGGCAGAGTATCTTCTTATACACATGTTGGAAAACTATACGATTTGTTATACTCGGAAAAATACCGAAATTGGTGATTAGCCGCACTCGATTGTAACTCTTTGTCGAAGACTTATGCTGGCCCTTATTTTTGTAGCAATTAGGATATTAAGTTTTATTCTACTCTAGTTCAGCAGTTGTTGCCAAAACTGTACCGTACACGTTTGTAGCGCAGTCAGGTTCTTTTTCATATCAAATATCGACAACATTGGCCCCATAAATAGGATACATGAAAATGGTACCACCAAATATCTTGGTGTAAGTACCACCAAATATCTTGGTGTCTCCATCTCCTCAAACTTGACCTGGGGCAGACATGTCGATCTAGTTACAGCGAAAGCAAGCAGAACCTTAGGAATGCTGAGACGCTGCCTGCGAATCTCAAGCAATGTGGCAAAGGAGAGAGCTTACATGGCTCTTGTAAGACCCTCCTTAGAGTACGGCTGTAGTGTCTGGGATCCCCACACCAAGGACCAGGTGAGTAGGGTGGAGATGGTCCAGCGTAGAGCTGCCCGTTTTGTCTGCAGTGACTACAGACGTACAAGTTCTGTTTCATCTATGTTGCAAAACCTGGGCTGGCAGTCTCTAGAAGTACGTCGGAAGATCGCCCGCCAGGTCATGTTTTATAAGATTACACATAATGCTGTCTCCGTCCCACACTCAACCAGGATTGTCCCGGTGGCTCGATGCTCCCGCCGCATCAATCACACTCAAACATTGCAGGCCATCGCGAGCAGAACCAACTTCTACAGGCTCTCGTTCTTCCCCCGCACCATCAGCGAATGGAATGAACTTGAGCCTTGTGCAGCGGAGGCGGGGTCTCTTGCCCAGTTCAAATCTGAACTGGCGAGGACCCTGCTGCATTGAGCCACCCCATCATGTCTTGTATATATGTAAATATTACTAACGCACTAATGCACTTGTCCCGTCTTTAGCACACACAAAATCAGTTGTCTTATGTTCCCTTCTCACTTATCCTTGTTTTACCTTTGTTTTTATGTACCGGGTCACAATTGTAACTAACAATGCGTAACGGCTGCCAATAATCCTACATGGTAGGGCTAGGCAGTAACGGAGATGATGATGGTACAGGGGGAAAGATCTCGGTATGAATAAGGCAAGTTATAGTGATAAAAACATCAGTAAAGTCTTTATTCTAAGGGATCGCTAGTCATTCTTGCACTTGATAGAAGCTAACGCAGGTACAGGTAGATATGTGAAGTCACACACCATATGCCGATGCATCGCGTGCGTTCTTTTATACTTTAAAACCTGAATACTAATCTTCCCACTGAAGATAATAGTGTTCCGTTATGAATGTTAGTTTTGAACTTCTACTTGGAATGTTGGTAGTAAGATTTTTTTCTACTTACCAGTAAAAGCAAGGGCTGCCAGAAGGACAAAGAATCCCAGGAGAGGTGACCGCCCACATGTTAAATCCATCTTGGATAGAAGTATAACCTCGCAGTACCTTGCTCGCACTAGTTACGTAAAAAGACCTGTCCGACTTGAGGCTAATAGTACCCTGGTAGTTTCTGACAGATCATTAGGGAGATATCTCGAGGTCTCTCCATATACCTGTATATGTATGACCGTTAGGTCACCCCACCCTACTTAGCAAACACAAGTTGAATGGTGTGGCCGGGCGTGGTCTGAGTATGTCAATTTGTTATGGAGACATGTCTCATTGTATATTGATCATTGCAGTCATCCGAAGCCATCAGCCATCCAATGAGAAGGATATGTTCAAATATGCAATGTTCTGGTCGGGACATATCTATAACTAACAGCTTTTTCTCTTTCATGTGACGCGGCCACCATATCCTTGCTGATACGTACGGTTGAGCGTGAAGCAGTTATGGACGAGTTGAGGGATCGTTTATATGTAACTACTAGTGTTAAGAACTGTTGTAGATCCAGTTCTCGCTCCGGGTCGCTACTCTGATCGTTTCCCTGCTGACTATCTGATGAGAAGTGAAGTGGACTTGAACTAGGATAGGATGGATGTCAGGCTATCGGTATTGATGTTGTTACATGTCAACGTATCTTGTAAACATTTTTTTTGCATTAACTTTTCCTTGGGATGCCCACCAGCCTCACCCCCCGCCGACCAGACCTCATTCCCCGCCCATATTATAAATTATAATCCTGTCATCATATTGATCTGACTTAATGGGTAATCACAGGTTAATCATACTTATGAGTGTTAATCATACTTATGAGTGGCTCTCACGAGCCTTGTTTTGTGGTGAATCATGACATGAAGTAAATAAAAAAACAACTTGCAATCATACTTTCACTAGTTTACTAATAACCATTTCAATATAACGGCCGACAGCAGATTTCAACAAGATGTGTTAATTACTTGAATTTCGTACAACTTCAAACACTACAATCAATGGCAGGGTAGACGCAGTGTGCATTCCCTGAATTACGTAAAGTTTGCTACAATAGTGTTGTTCACATAAAAGTACTAAATTAAATTTCATGGCGAAGTTCCACCGAAGTGCTGTCTAGAACACAAACCGTCTGTGGCACTGTAATATTGAAGATTAACCAATACTCTCCTGTACCTAACAGCACACCGGTGATTAAAACATGTCTGCAATCATACTTCAGGCATTCAGAAGGAAATTACTTGTAGACGTGTGAGGAAATTACATCTAGAATATGGAGGTACCTTGCCGCAGGTACCTTTGTCGGAATAGTTACGAAAAAGGAAATTAAATTCCATGCATGGATGCATATTTACAATATATCATACATATGAATGGTATGCATATAATGTATCGGTGTGGTTTGTTGCCACGTGACCTCTGACCGAATTGGAGTGAAAAAACTCTTCGTCTGTAGGGTTAGCCTTGACTAACTTAAACAAAACACAATATACATGACAACACGTTTTCCCTCACAATCAAGAGAGTAGCTGATTAACAGTTATCTCACCACGGCACGAAACGCGGTGTTTACGCATAAACGTAGGGTGAATGTGATGTTTATTCTCCCTTTCAGCATCTGTTTTGTTATGCACATGGCTGTGTTACCACCCTTGACAACTGCATGGGTGTGGCGGAGGTAGAGGTAGACAAATGAACAAGCTGCAGACCGAACCCCCTGAAACGATACATTCAACAATCAACTCAATATTGACAACGTATTGGTAAGGTGTATCTTCCATAAAACATGAAATATTGGTCACGCAACTCAAGAAGAATATATACAATGAGAGGGTGTTTCAGACCTTCCGTAGTATTTGTAGCAGGTTGTATTACTTCCATCTCGTCTGTGCTCAGACCAGCAGGGCCGCGGGTGGAGATGACCTGAAACATAAAACAAAGTCAACAAAAGTGAGGCATGAAGATGTTAAGCTGGATTTTCGCATACATACAACGTCAACTCTCATCATTCCACCGCGGGCACGTATCACGTGCGCGCGCGCGTTTGTGTATGTGTGTAGCTCTATAGACTTTTAGGTGAATATTAAATTAAATAACATTCAATTCAAAACTAGGCATTTTTCTCAGTTTTATTTTTTCCTCGCCCTTGCATTGGACCTTACCGCATGTCTATTGGTGCCCTCGTCAGTTTCTGTAGGCCTTTCAGATGATGTCGACATACCAGATGAGTCATCCACCTTGATAACAAGACAAAACTCTATAAATCTGTTAACTAGCACAAACTTGTAGTGTTATGCCGAAGTATATGGAAACTAAGATTATAGAACATAATTGATAAGTTTCATTAGTTGTTTTAAAGCGCAAATTACAATAAATGTCACTAAAGCTGTGTCATTGCAGAGCTAGGGTAAATGGTTTTCAAAACCTTTGAGAAGTTGACGGAGAGACACATCAAGACTCCAACAATGATCACGATTACTAGGGCGCTGGAAACACCAACAATCCCCCAGCGGTGTTTTCGAACTAAAACAACAACAGACATACATGTAGGAGAGTCCTAATACACGGACATGGTCAGTGCAATGTTGTTTTCGTGTAAGAGAAACATAACATGAGAACGGTAGAGGCGATCTTTATAGTGTTTTAGATTCCTGACTTGTGATGCCGTGTAAAATTAAAGCGATCGCGACATTACCAAATAGAATTACTCTTGTTGTTAGACTAAGGTTACTGTAATACCATTGGGCACTCGGGGTGGGAGGATTGCGTCTGTCTTAGTAAACTAAAACATAAGGGGAAATCATGAAGGAAGACAGAAAGACGTCGTGGACACCGTGTTGTATCAGGGTTATTGAGATACAATAAGAATAGTTATCATTAAAACAGTTATCAGTTATGCGATCTTACCTGTAACCACCAATACTTGTTTGCGGTTCATGTCGTTAGGTGCGTACAAAATATTAGGACGAAGCTGGTCCTGGATATTATTCCCTGTACTCGCCGTGATGTCTATTGTAGTATGGTCTTCAGGAGGGGACTGTGTCTCCCCAAAAATTGCCTTGTTACGCCCCACTTCGATCTCACTCATGTTTGTGACCAAGTATGGCTCTATATCTTCTGCATCACTACTTCTATCCTCGGTCAGCTCATCTTGGTATCTCGTAGCGTAGGGTTCAATACTGTAGACATTCGCCCGGTTGGTGTTCAGTTCTATCTCAGTGTCACACATGTACGCAACAGCGTATGGTTTCACATCGATGTCGTCTCTTGTACTTTCGCCAGGCTCATGCTGGTATCTTGTACCACTGATAGCATCGCTTGTTCGTCCATTGGCAGACCCACAGTGTTTGGATATGGCAGAACTATTGCCAGTATTGGCCTGAAAGTCTGCCATTCCAGTTACTTCTCCACTAGTATTTATGAACTTATCTTCTTCTCCAACGCTAGCCGGGGCGGTTTCGTAGCACATCGAGACCGTGCTTACCTCTACTCCTGAGTTCCCTGCCGTGTACATGGGGCTTGTGTTACCTTGAGTGCCGGGCGATTTCCCCGAGAGCCGCTCCGAATAGAGTACTGGTTTGGTGTCTCGACTCTTCGGCATGGACGTTAAGAGTCCGCTGTTCATCCTGGTATCTACCCCATAATGTGTATTGCAGTTCTCTCTAGTGTTTGATGAGTCTGCCGAAAGTGGATCGGAATAATGCCATGGGTCGGGGATAGTGGGTACGGACGTTGCTCCTGACCCAACCCAAGCATTGCCCTGGAATATGGAGTTTGTGTACTCCTTGCCGGTTTGTGAGTCCGAATCTTGTTCAGGGCTTTGATTCTGATTTTTCTGCACAGATGTCACCCGTTCATCTGAAGTGATGGCTGTACGCATTGTGTTAGGAAAGGCAGGCTCGGGTGGTGAAACCACGCTCTGATGGGCTGAGCCGACAGTCGTGCCATTCATTGGACAATATCCACCGTCTTCTTCAACAGAACAGTCAGCCATCCCATCTTCCTGTAAGGAGCTCTCTAACTTTACGTTTGCAACGTGGATGAATTCTTCATGTGAACCGTTACATTCAGACATGACTGAGATGTTTTGATGGTTATGTGACAAGGTGATTTTAATGTTGACTTCGACACTCAAATCTGTAATAAAAAGGTTACATTATATAAATTAACATTATTATTATGGTTCAGCTCTTTTCGTTTGTTTATTTGTTTGTTTGTTTGTTTGTTTGTTTAATTGTTTGTTTCGTATAACCGGCAAACCTTTATAGGCGTAACACACCAATTTTGTACATGTAAGTACAAGCTGTGTAAGACCGGAGCGTAAGGTTTGAACCAGTCTCACCGGGAAGCTTAATGACCCCTACTCTTTTCGATAATTGCGGTGGTTTCTTTACGTGCGTGGGGTGTGACTCTCCCTCTTTGCTCGGAATCACTTACTGTACATACAATGGAGATAGATGCAGTTTGAACTGCGTCAGCATTTATGACGTTATGATCAGATGTGCGTAAAAATATTCTTGATGTAAAAACATTAGAATTAAAACTGAAAAAAATATTAACATCTACTGCCTCCACGCCATGTTACTAAACCTGGCTTTTATTCCATTCTTACCTCCTGATCGGTACGATGACTGGTCAGTCTGTCGAACGAAGTTCCTTCTTGATTATGACTTCCTTGCCTCAAACTTAGGTCTCTAAGTATTTATATACTATGCAAAACGCAGAAACTACTGTCTGCGCATGCGGCACCGTACAGGCTCAAGGCACCACCAGTACTGAGTCAGAAGTAGAGTGCGGCTGGATAGAGAAGAAATCGGCTAAGTAGACAGAAAACATACCAAGGGAGTTCCTCTTAAGGGGTACAGTTAAGTTTGGTGCTCTGTGCTCTTTTAGCGGACCAATTCCCTTGCTATGTTATCTGTCCTTTTGGGCCAATCTATCAGCCGCTTGTGAAGCCTGGTGGAGGCTAACAGCACACCGGTAATTACGTTCTGTACATGGATTAAAACATGTCTGCAACCATCCTGCAGACATACGGAGGTAGGAAATTAAATGTATAAGGAAATTGCATCTAGGATATTAAGTCACGTTGCCGCAGGTGTCTTTGTCGGATCCTGCGAAATAATTGTAAAAAAGTCGATGCACTCGGTTTCAAACATCCCCAGAACAAATGCACTCTTTCGTTTATAGCGGTATATACATGTACATTGTTATAGAATTTTTGAAACTCAGAATTCATTAATACAGATCAGAAATATTGCAGATGCATGACCGAAAACTCAACATATGGTGGTGTGTTTGACTGTCTGTGTGTGGACGTAATTCAGCACCGAGGACATGTGTGTTTACCTAGCTGTGTGTGTTCACATGTGTGTGGATGGTATTCAGCACCAAGGACAGACATGTTTAGTTGTGTGTGGATGGTGTTCAGCACAAGAGACAGATTTGTTTACTTTTGTGTGTATTTTAGTGTTTGCTTAATGTGCAAATGACGTTCAGCATCAAAAGGGAACGGTAGACGTCAACGAGGATGGACAAGGGAGCGATTCTTCTGCTTTTGCGGGGCCCGGGCGCCCCCTAGCGCTGTAGTGCCGCACTGCATATGCAGCGGGGGGGATTTGCAGCGGCTCAAGACACCGCCACGCCTTCTGTAGAGGTTAAGAAAGTGTGTTATCCACGGAGAAGTCTGTATCCTGATCAGGAGATGTCAGTGAAATACAACTTTCGCAATAACACATCATCTTCCTCAGACACTACCTGGAACAAGCGAGGAAGACATCGTCAGTCGGACCACACATACAACAAACATGCAGATCATGTCGCTAGAAACGATCAGAAGATCGCTGTAGACAGTTTTACGCTGTGTACCCTGCTGAAGAGGAAAAGGGAGGACAGCAGTTCCGAAAACACGGTTGGTAATGTCTACAAGAATTACACAAGTCTAATGTGAATTTTTTTTTCAGAATTAAGTACCTTTTCACTCTGTAAAGCGAATTTATGGAAGAACAAGGCTTTAATTGACCTAGATTCTCGATTGTTTTTCAACTCAAGTAAGTAAGTAAGGAAAGCATGTAAATACTATGATGATTCTGCTGCATTGTTGACTTTGTATGTAACGTACTTTGCAGATTTGACTAAATCCTAAAAATAGAATTGTTGGTCTTTGACATCAAGTTACCTCGTTTTATATTATATTTTTATTGTGACTTTTCCTCTCGAAATATTGAAACCAACAACTCCAGTTTATATATTGTGTGGCATTGTACATATGGATAAAGCTATAAATCGTATTGTATTTACACACAGTTTGTTCCCAGATACATGGAATCCAACAGAGTACAACAGACCTTATACTATTAAAGATCCTCATGGCCCATTTGCAACAAATTTGTCCAATAAGATGCGTATCTGAATAGCATTTTCAAACCAAACATTAATTATTTTGTTATGGCTACTCAAGTTCAATCACCATGGCATTTACTGGAGAGATCACCCTCCCCACTCAGGCTGGTGTTAACTTAGTTTTTAAATATACAGTTTGTAGTTCTTTCTTGTCAAATGATATGTAACAAGGAGAAGTTAAAAATTAAAAAAAAGATGTCTCTTACATAGTAGCTTGAGTACATAAAAAAGAACACATACAGCAAGAGTGATTTGCTTGCAAGTACTGCTGAATTATTAAACGTCCTGGCAGAAGTCACCACCGTATCACGTAACAATTTCATCGACACGTACATAACACTTAATATTACACAGTCCACATGGCAATAATTTGTATTGCCAGACTTGTTATTCATAATCCGTGAATAATTTCATCATATTCACAACCGCTTGTTTAACAAGAGCCGACGTTTCAATGGCCGTCTGTCATCTTCACCAGGTCAATTATGACTGGTTCAATGTGCACTGAAGCAAGGTGTTACTGGTTCACTGAGTGTACTGAAGGTACTGCTAACAACGCGGTCCCAATCGTAACGCATTGTGACACATCGTTACAACGGTCACTGCACGAAATGGCCTCGGATCCTAGCAGATGCGTACCGGGATTTGTCCGTATTTTTCGCAGATACAAGCGGATACTGACGGATCAGAATGGAATCCGCCAGAAAATCCGAAACATCGGTTACTGCAATCCGGAACCTATTCCGTACAAATCCGAAAAACGGGATCCTTGTAGTATATATTCCACACGGAATACGTTCGGATTTTGCCAGGATACGCACAGAAAAGAATTTGG